AATCACCCTGTCAAAATCCTTTGTGTTACGGCATTGAAATTCGAACAATACGTTATTTCAATGATTTTGGGTTTTTTTGAGGCGGACGAGTACAGTTTGAATGCAAATTATGACAAATCTTCAATTACACCGGAATTTAAATGTGTTGAAGCTTCTCTTGAAAATTCATGTCTTATTGTTGATACAATTTTAAATTCTGAGTCGAAAGCAAAGACAGTTCGAAAGCAATCGTTCGCGGTTGTGCCAACTTTACCAAAATCAATCAAAGGCCGTTCGAAATCTAAGCCAAATTTCTTTCAGAAGCAATCGTTTAAACCAGCCAGTGTGACTGTACCAATTTCAGAATCAACATGTATAGCATTACATAAACCAACGAAGCAGACACGCGAGCCTATTATACAATCTAAACGGCCTGTCTGGTTATCCAGGTTGCCCTTGATCAATGGTCCTGAACCTCTTATCCTTAAGCATACCGATAATAATTTAACTCGTAGTCGGTCACACCGAACCCCTTTTCGGAAACGTCCCCAGAAGAAACTCCACCCGTATTAGACCATTGGCCAGGCATGGACTGGATGAACCACCTAGCTTTGCGTATGGAAATTCCCGTTAGAATTACTCGCCGCGAAAATTTGAGAAACAGAAAAACAGTCCATGCGTATAATAATTTAATCCCACTACAGGCTAGTGAGAACCACACTAGCAGAAATACGTGTAGTACCCCATTAACCCCAAACGATCAGATATCAGTTCCCTCTAGTCTCAACATTGTTCATTTAAACATTCGCTCGTTAAGAAATATCGTTCACCTTACTGAGGTCAAGGAACTAGTAAAGTTAAATAATATCGATGTCCTCACAATTTCCGAATCGTGGTTAAATTCCTGAGTAACGAACCGTGAGATTGCAATCGACGATTATAAGATCCACAGACTTGACCGGTTACACAAGAAAGGTGGAGGTGTCTGTGCTTATATCAAGAAGAATATTAAAGCAACTGTCTTAAAATGTGTCAGTCTCTAACTTTCATCAACTATGGATAAATCTACAATGCCAAAAAAACAAATCAATAATAATTTGTGTAACCTACCGACCACCTGACACTTCTCTAAATTGTTTCGAAGATTTACTTAAGCCAAATTATGTTCAGGCTTTAACTTTGAATAAACAGATTTTAGTGCTCGGTGACTTAAATTGTAACATGCTAGAAAACGGCCAAGAGCGGAGAGCGCCAACAAATTTTTCTACAGAATTAAATCTCACACAGATTATTAAAACTCCAACTAGAATCACGGCGACGTCCCAAACGCTTATTGATGTTATTCTAGTCTCATCCACAGCACTTGTTCTTGAGAGTGGTGTTATTAACACTTCTATCAGTGACCACTTACCAGTGTACGTCCTACTAAAGTTAAAGGCCCCGAAGATGTATATTAATCTGAAAAACCAAATGCTTGGAGAATTAATTAATAATAATAATAATAATCATAATCTTTACGCCTTCTATGCTGCTAACCCAAAAACTTCAACTTTGAAAGCTATCCCGCGAGAATTTGGAGCGACCGACCTTTGTAAACATAACAAGCAATGGAGACACGTACAACACTTAGCGAATGTTTTTTGGTCGAAATGGCGAAAGGAGTTCTTGCCCACACTGCAGCCGCGTCGGAAGTGGCAAGAAGAAGTTCCGAATCTTGAAGCAGAAGACCTCGTGTTATTACGTTGTAAAGACGTCGCAGGAAATGAATGGCCACACGCCCGGGTAATAAAAGCGTATAAAAGCGCTGATGGCGAAGTACGGAAGTTAAATTTGATTACCACCAGGGACGGTGCGAAGCACATATACACTAGGCCAGTAACTGAAGTCGTGCTGCTCAGAACTGTGCATGAGTTAAAATGATCAGGACTAACTTTAATTAAAAACTTTCGTTTCATTGTTTAAATTAATAGTGGTATCATTAGATACCAGACGGGGAGTATTTTGGCCGTTTCGGCCTGTTCTTATTAACAGTTCGCGCCAATTACATTTTAATGCATTCTAATTGGCTAGTCACCCTCGCTGCTGGGGGTGGCTCGAAGGTTGTTTTTGTAAAATTCTTTGTATTGTTTTTTGAGGTGATTCGCAGTCGATTCTCCTTTTACCACTGTAACACAAATAAAATCACTTTAAAACAAATTTGTGTTGGTTATACTGCTGATGAAAGGTCTCACTGAGCGGGGGCCCGAAGTATCAGAACAAATACTAATAAGGCAGTATAATCTATTGAATTTGTAGTCGTGTTTGAAGCCGTTTAATAAACTCGCAGCTCGTGTCAGTTGGGCTCGTGGCTTAATTAAACCTAATAAAACTCCTGCTCGTTCATTAAGCAGTACATAAAACTATTTCAATACTGAAATTATACTAAAACAATTACTCGCCTCGGGCTCGGTGATTACAAGCCTATTTTCACTTCGCCTTCGCTTGTAACCACCTCGCCTTCGGCGATAGACTAATTGTTAAGTGACTCACTGTATAATGCTTCGGAAATCCGTAGCATGGCATCTCCGCCAAAGGGCAGTTTAATAAAAAATGTATTACTGATTACTAAGCAATTTGACCAAGACCACTACTCTTTCTCGCCTTGTAAAATGGCTCCCGCAGTGTACAGGTTTGGTAAATGATAACCTTAGTTTTAGCACTGCTGGTTTTATAAACTTTTGGCATACACAGTGCCTGTTACATACACTGACAATACTGCTGAAAAATTATGCAATAATGTAGCACACAACATATTAACGAAACATATGCCAAGCTACTAGAAAGAAGCTGGATTTGACAGACTATTTTCTTTCCAATATTTGTAGGGTTTTACATTCAGAGTAATTAATATAAAGGTTGGGCGGAGGAATTTCTAGCAGATGATTTATTTTGTGTCTGGTTAGCACATAAACCTGTTGTTTATCTTTTCAAACCCGAATATGTCGAGGTACAGTGCATATTAATTATAGTAATATTCATAATAATTATGGCATTGTAAGGGGTGGGATATAATGCGTAGCAGATGATCACCCCGCTGTGGAACACCTACAGTAAATGGAGAGGGGGCGAAAAGAAGAAGCCCATGCAGCAGACGGTCTTTCTCCACTGAACGTCTACGAGACAGGCTACCTTATAGGGTGTGATTGGCTGCTGAACAAGCATTATTCCCAGTCTATCAAAGGGTTCCAAAGGGCAGTTGCCCCCCCCCCCCCCTCTCCCGCAAAAAATAATAGAAATCCAAGGAAAGTCGAGCAACTGGGCATTCAAGACGTATGTGAGCAAATTTGTCAAAAGGTAAATTGATGCTATGTATTTATTACAATTTATGTAAACATTAGGCGAACTTAATAACAGATTACTAATCCTTATTAGTATATATGTATATTAAGTATCATATTCATTTTACTGGAAATACTTATTTTTACAAATGAAATATGACAAAAATAATTTAGCCAGTATAGTATTTATATAGACGAATGACCTTTGGAAAATTTGAAAGTATTGCAAATTAAATTTTACTTCTAATGTTTCTGCTAATTATTTTACCAACATGCCAAGTTTTACATTCTTCAGATGTTATGATTTCTCCGATAGTCCGGTCAACTTGAGGAAAAAGGAAAACAACTAACTAGTTGACTCCTTCAATCCATGGAAAGAATTCTGAAAATTTCGCTGCTTTATATGACACGTTCTATTTAGTTTAATTAATTAATTCCAGAAGTACTCGTTATATTTATGTCAATGTTATTTCTCCCGTAAATACAAAAGAGAATCAGAGGGTCTTAGAACTTTTACTGTTTCTAGTATAAAACTTTGGAACAAAATACCTCAGTATTGACATCAGAAAGGAAAATCATGTGGAATAACATTTTTAAGGATCAACAAGTTTTACATAATTTGAACGTTTAATAACTTCTATCCAGTTATATTTGTATATAGTCCTAGATAAGATGTAATTAACAGTTATTCTACGAACTCGAGTCGAATATGAGCTGATAGCCGATGAGGCGCCTAATCCGGCTATCGCTCCTATTCGACGAGAGTGAGTAGAATAACTGTTTTATTATATACACAAGGTCTGAATTCACGGACTTTGCTTTCTGGATATTTTCAATATTTTTCTATTTTGTTTATGTTTTTATCTTCGCTCTTTCGGCAGAGTATTTTTTCCAAAATATATATTTTTAACCTTTTTAAATTTTAAAAATTCATTTGCTAACCTGTAAACAATCTGTGGCAGTTTTTTCGTTGTGTTTTTAATCCTGTAAAGGCTATAAAAAGCGAACAACTTGCCGTTTTCTCTTTCTCAAAATGTCGGAAATTCAGTTTGTGCCGCCATTTTGTTTTTCTCTACAAGCAGGATATGAGCTAATATCCTGCAGCTAGTAGAGAACCAATCAGATTGGAGAATACCTCATATCCAGACCTTGTGTATATAATAATATTAATTATTATATACACAAGGTCTGGATATGAGATATTCTGCAATCTGATTGGTTCTCTACTAGCAGGATATTAGCTCATATCCTGCTAGTAGAGAAAAACAAAATGGCGGCCAAACTGAATTTACGATGTTTTGCAAACGAGAAAACGGCAAGTTGTCGCTTTTTATAGCCTTTACAGAATTAAAAACACAATGAAAAAACTCCCACAAATTGTTTTCAGGTTAGCAAATAAATTTTTAAAATTTAAAATGGTTAAAAATATATATTTTTGAAAACTGAAATAATTGGCCGAGAGAGCGAAGATAAAAACATAAACAAAATAGAAAAATATTGAAAAAATATTCGAAAAGCAAAGTCTGTGAATTCAGACCTTGTGTATATAATAAAACAGTTATTCCACTCACTCTCGTCGAATATGAGCGATAGCCGATTCGGCGCTACGCGCCTCATCGGCTATCAGCTCATATTGGACTCGAGTTCGTAGAATAACTGTTAATTATTTTAGCTAATTCTATAGTTTTTACTGAATTATGATATGCATGTAGAGTATAATTTATGAGTGCCACAAGTAGTTATTAGCCATTTGTTATTTTAAATAGCAATTTTTAATGGTACTCCCTTGAAGTCATTATTATAATTATTATGATTTCAATGGAAATACTTCTACCAATGCAACTATTACTGTCAAGTCAGACGAATATTACTAAGTCGTTGCTTTATAATTTTCTTCATCCATGGCTTGGAACAGGTGTAATTATAACTCAATTTATTATAAACGCTGCAGCCACAGTGTTCATGAAGTAATATCTCTCTCCTCCGCACAGCCTCCTTAAAGGGGCCCTACAGTCATTTTTAGTCGAAAAGGCACTGTAAGTATTGTTTACATTTTTTGTTATTGTCGCTACTTGACATGCGCACCACGGCATGCATGCGTCTTCCGGTGTGCGGAAGTACTCATACTCATGGATACTGCATGCAAGATACAGCCAAACGAATCTCCGTAGAGTCCCCTACTTAAGGTGGCTTTTCGACTAAAAAATTACTTACATGAAGTTTCCAGAGTAAAATTGAGCGCGCGCGGTATGATGGGAAGATTGAAATGAAGTCGGGGAGGCTCTGCCAGATAATGCGACGAAGTATGGTTTTTGAATCAAACTAGCTGTTTGACCTTTTTTTAAACTTGAAATCGACGGAAATGTGAAAGAAATTGTAATGAATCTTCATAATCTGAGTGTCGAAGTTCAATAGAGTCATTTTTATGAAGAAATGTTGCAATTAAGAGGATATTTATAATTAAATAGCTCGTATCCACTGATATTCGTTTGCAATTTCTCAATATTTTTCGATGCAAATGGGCAGAAGAAGATATTGGTATTGAATTTACCCCAGGATACTCAAGTACGTCTGAAAATGAAAGTCGAAAACATGTTTTAATACCGCCGATGGTTGATCGAACCGAACTCCAAAAGATTATATACGATGCAATGTTGATTGTATTAACTAGCAGAGGCTCAATTATTTGGCTCTTCCCATCACTCCTTGCGCGCTCACTTTTCCTCACTGGAAACTTCATGTAAGCCTCTGCCGAGGTGAGAGAAGTAATATAGAGTTTTTTACAATTTGATATTTTCCCAACAAACACAATCAAAATAAACTAGAATCGACGTTAAACGACTACATGCATGCATGGTTGTGTCATAATGGCACATGCATGCATACGTCTTTTAAAGTTTGTAAGCACCATAATTTGTTTAGAAGTGAAAGTGACACAAATATTATCACTCACTGCGAAACGACTATCAGGACAATAATATAATTTTACATTGCAATAATGCCCATAGAATACAAAATAGCATATCTACTTTATATATTTTAAAAATTGGTAGTCCTATAGTTAAAAGTGTAAAACATTCATTTGTTTATGCTGTTTTGCACAAAAAAAAAAAAAAATAATCGTGTTGATTGCCATGGCTAACATGACGGCATGATGCGAGGAGCGCGAGCCTGCGTTCAGTGTTGGCATAATTAAAAATACTTCATGTTGAAACAATATTCGGGAAATTGTGCGAAGGGTTGTTTTGCATGCGTGTATTTCTGGTTCATGTTTATTTATTAAAGCCTGATCACGTGACAATGAAAATAAATTCTCAGATATGCAATTTGAAATGTAATGAACTTGTGATCGATTGTTTAATAGGAAAACCTAATGACCAGGCTG